GACTGGCCAAGCTGAACCTTTTCCCGTTGTCATATCGCAGAACTAGAGGCGGCCTGATTGCAGTTTTCAAATTGCTTAGTGCCAAATTAGCACCTGATATGCCCTCATTTTTCTTGTCTTCCAAAACAGAGAATTTACGAGGACACTCCAAAAACGTTCACAAGCCAAGAACAAATTACTTTTCAGCTGACTATCGACTTTCCCATCGAATCATCAACGAGTGGAACTCATTACCTCAACACGTGGTTGAGGCTCCATCCGTCGATTCTTTCAAAAGAAAGTTGGATCAACTGAGGGACCACCATTGCCAGGACTGACACAGGCCATCAGGCCTCCTGTCCTTCCCAAACTGAAACTGAAACTGAAACAACTCTATTATTGACATCTAAATGGTTCAAATGGTTCAAATGGTTGTGGACGGAATAGAAGAAGCTTCCACTTAACAGGTTCCCGTGCCTAGTAGCAGTGGATCGCCAATACTCCACGGCAGGGACCTAGGTATATTAACTATAATAGATTGGAAAAAAAGAAATTGGTAAATCATAGTAAGATATTATCCTTAGTCCTTAAGAATAGGTCAAGTTTCCTCTTAAATGACTCCTGGGAAGTCGCTTGGACTAGTTCAGTCAGCAGCGAATTCGAGAATTTGACAACTCTTAAGGAGTAGACGTTGTGTCTACAGTCCGTTCTGCTATCTTGTGTCTCCAGTTTTTGGGTGTCACCTCTTAGGTTGGTGTTGGAATTAAGCTTAGGTAGGTGTTTGAGAGGATGTGCAGAAGTGTTAAGGATACTATAAGCCATTAGGTCACATCTAAGACGTCTATACTCTAATGAGTAAAGGTTAAGGGAATGAAGGCGCTCTTCGTAAGGTTTAAATTTGAGTCCTCGAACTGATTTCGTGGCCCGCCGTTGGATACGCTCCAGGGTGTCCTCATCCTTTTGGACTGAGGAGGGAAATACAATGTTTCCGTACTCTAAATGGGGACGAATAAAACTATTGAAGATTATATGGAAAGTTCTTCTGTCAAACTGGCCAAAAATGCGCTTCAGTGTTACCAGTGCAAGATTTTCTCGAAAGGCATTTTTGTCACAGAGTATGACTTCAAATCGTAGGGTACCAGCACTCCTAAATCTTTTTCAACTTGAGATACTTCTAGAGAGGAGTTCCTTAGTTTGTAGTTGTAGTCTGAAAAATGTCTTAGATGGACTACTTTACATTTTGAAGTGTTAAAGATAAATCCGTTGTCATACGCCTAACTTTGAAGTCGAGTCAGATCCTCCTGAAGTGCCAGTATATCTTCTTGGTTGCGTATCTCTCTCCAAAGTTTCACGTCGTCGGCAAAAAGTAGTAAGTCTGACGTTACCTGTTGAGGAAGATCATTTATGTAGATCAAGAAGAGAAGAGGTCATAGTACTGAGCCCTGAGGGACCCCACTAGGACATTCCATAGCCTGAGAGGAAGTGAAATTAACCCCGACCTTAAAATGTCGATTTTTTATATATGAAGTGAGCCAATCAATTAGAGGTGATTTGATACCCAATCGTTGAGCCTAATATAAGACATGTGTGGCTGGACATTTTAAAAGCTTTTGAGAAGTCAAGGTAAATGACATCAACCTTAAGCTTGCGATCAGGATGTTTGTCCATCTGTCCACCACAGTCAGCATGTTGGTCATACAAGAATGAAACTTCTTGAAACAATTGTTGAAGTGAAGATAAGTTTAAGGATAATAAATAGTCGTGTATAGCGTCGCACATCACCGACTCCACAATTTTTGGAGGTATAGAGAGAAGAGCCACCGGTCGGTAGCTTGAAGGTTCGCTGCGTCGACCTCCTTTGAAAATGGTGTGATGTGAGCCAGCCTCCAAATTTCCGGTAGTTTGCCTCGGCTTAACGAGTGTGAGAACATCACAAAAGCGGCGTTGCCAGGACTGCGGCGGCTTCCCTCATTATGGCGGAGTGAACCATGTCCGGGCCAGGAGAAGTGTCTAATCTTAAGTGCTGCAATTTCCGGAACATCAAGTCAGCGCTTAGGTCCACTTCGGAAAGTCCTGTGGAATTGCAGATGAGACTGTCATCAGTAAAGTTAGTGTTGGTCGGTTGAAATGTCTGGGACTAATGTTCAGCCAGAAGGCTTCGCCATCGTTGTTGGTCGGGCCGTTAAGACCTACCAGTTGGGGAACTCCAGTTTTGGCTTGACGAAGAGAGGCTGCATAGCGGAATAGGCTTTTAGGATTAGAGGCAAATTTGTCCATAAGCTTTGTCTGGTACTGAAGCCTATCTTCTCATATAGCCTTCGTGCATATGTCCCTGATATAATTATATTGCCTGTACGCTCCGTCGTTGTCAGTTCGTTCGTATTCCGCCCAACAGTGCCTTTTGCGGCTTAGCAGGCGAAGGGTACGGTTCTTGATTACTGTAGGTGGCTTGCAGCTTTTGGGAACCGTTTGAGGAACTGAATGGTTTGTAGCACGTAAGGGCGTGTGCAGTAAGAAGTCCCAATGACCGTCCACATCGAGTTGAGGGTGAACATCCCAAACTACCTGTTGTAGATAGTTGTGTAGAGCTGGCACATTCAACCGTTTAAAATTCCAATGCAAGTTATTGGTGGGATATCTTAGCTTAGTTTTGCTGACAAAACTGAAAGCTATGACGGCATGATCGCTTTTTCCCAGGGGAGCCAGGATTGGGAGGTTGTCAACTAGAAATTCTTCGTTTGTGAATACAGTCTAAGCGCGGTGGTGTCTGACTGTTTCTCCAACGAGTTGCCGACCTCACATTTTCGTACAATCCCAAGTTATCGATGAGGTTGAAGAACCGAGCTTCAATTGAGTTGTCGCCTCCAGTATACGTGTGTTCCGCGAAGTTGACTCTAGCGAGATTAAAGTCCCCTAGAATCAGGATGTGTGAAACCGAGACGAGTAGAGCGGGATAGTCCTTCCAGCATACGACTATCGTACTCGATGTCGGCAGTTGGCTTCCTGTAAATGACTCCGACTAGACACCTCGAAATACTTGACAACGCGTGAGCTTCTTCCTGTTTGTCTGTATGAGCCTTACGTGAATGGACAGGTAGCCCACCTACATGAGGTTTGCCGAGGTGGTAGGCCCTGTCCTTTACATGTTTTTTTATCGTCTAGACAGTTCACAAGTGGAATGATCAGCTCCAACTTGCCTTTGTGTTTGGTCCTAGCTTCGTATGGCCTATCTATAACACTCCTAAAGGTGATAAAAAACCCAAGTTGGTCAGATGGTCGATAGTAATTGCGAATAAATTAATCTTAATGATTTGTGTCATAAGCCATCTGATGTGACACTAAGTTAGGATATATTTGTTTTAATTAGTTCCGAAAGGTTTTAGCGTAGTCGAATAAACCCCAGTTTCTGGGTCTTTATTCTGTCTCAGGTAGGCTTATCATTCGCAGTCTTTTGAAACGACTTTTGTAATTGAAGTTTATCCTGTAAGCTGATCTGGATACTAAGGTTCTTGCCATTTAGGATGAAAATTCACACTACCTACTATTACCATAGTAAATGCTACAATTCCGTACGTTGGGCTTTTCAAATGACATTCAGCTTAACTACTCATAACTTTCTACCTTGGCACAGTATTCCTGTTGTGTTTATCTACAAATATGCTTTTAAATACGATGGGTGATTTTGACAAACTAATGGTGACTTCTGTCACAGACAGTAATCAGTTCATCACCGTATCTTTGTACTTCTACGTTGTTCTTTGCGCCAGCAAGAATTTCGCCAAATAGTGATTGGACCCATGAAGATTAACTTCCCTAACCGACCTCAGGGTGTCAAACTTGCGATTCAGTGGCCAGGTTGTTGAATTACATTGTCTTGAGTCATTTCAAAAGGTTCAGTTACTCTTTGTGTCCGAAGCGTGCCCTACGTCAAAGTCATTTTGACAAAACAGGGGTGTCAATGCTTTAACACAGCATGATAGTTAAGTAAGTCGACTTTGAGTTAGCTTCGTTGATTACTCCAGTCACACTGAATCACATTTTCGTACTTAATATTTTAACAATCAACCTGTTT